TTAATTAAAGTGACATCGCTTGTTCAGAATCAATGTTAAGTAGTGACACATTAAAGTGACATAACTAGTTCAAGAATCAATGTTAGTAGTGGCACATTAAAAGTGACATCACTAGTTTCAGAATCAATGTTAGTAGTTACACATTAAAGTGACATCACTGGTTTCAGAATCAATGTTAGTAGTGACACATTAAAGTGACATCACTAGTTCAAGAATCAATGTTAGTAGTGGCACATTAAAAGTGACATCACTTGTTTCAGAATCAATGTTAGTAGTGACACATTAAAGTGACATCACTAGTTTCAGAATCAATGTTAGTAGTGACACAGTAAAGTGATAAAGTGATGTCACTAGTTTAAGAATCAATGTTTGGAGTGACACAGTAAAATGATGTGTACCTCTTTGGCATTTAATTGTCGCCCAGTTTCATCATAATAGTGTACTTTGACGTCAGGTTTGTAACTGTCTTTTTCTTTGAAGTCTACAACAGGACCACGGTAGATCCTATCATGCCGACTGTGTTTATCATCATCCCTGTAGAATAATGCATTGAAATACAGCTTTAGTATAACTTCAGTGTTGTCACAACACTGTCAGAAAGAGATTATCTCTCTCTGTATGCTCTGTTCAGGAGATCCGTAACATAATTCAATCACACAACTCAGTCAGTGTAATATAGATTTCATCATGACATGCAAGAGAGAGAGAGAGTGAGAGAGAAAAGTATTTTTTACAATAAACAATAAAATAGTGATAGATTAATGAAATGAAATTAAACTAGAGGTGAATAGTTATGGAGTCCATCGATAGGTAAACCACTTGTATAATATAAAACAAATATTGAAGACAAAAACACTTATGATAAATTAAAGAAAATACACATGTTTGTGTTCAGTGTTTTATATACAAATGAAAATGTTTCAAGAATTCACAATGCATTTATATATGGGGAATATAAGGATATTTCAGGTAGCAATAGGGGAGAAAAATAGTTATAAATTGATCTGTGATTCAGACATTCTGTAAAATTTACTAAGCATGCTGCAATAACAACCTATACATGTACATTATTTGAAATCTCAGATACAGAGGAATATGGTATTGTATATACATGTACTGTAACCAATGATTGACTGAAGAGACTACCTGACAACCAATTTCACTAGTTTTTTTTACTAGTCTTTTAAAAACACTTTTTTTTCACATTCAGTCATGTGAAGGACCTGTGAATTGTACAGGACGTTTGTAGGCTAGACAATCGCGTCTTTTTCTTTTCATCTGCCTGTAAATAACTACAGATATGCAACTGACATATGTTTTTGACTGGCTTTAAAACAAAATTATAGATGAACAAATCAACATATTCATCTATATCTAAGCTTTCTTATTACCGGTACTACTATTTGTCTGAATGGTATAATAAACTAAATTATGTGATGTAGTACAATCAGTTGCACAGTACTATGCTGGGATTATAACTGGGTGCAATGAGATGTTACAATATTATTTTCTTAATAATCAGTATTTTTAGTTTAACTTTCAGCTTGTATATGGCATGGTATTTTCAATTTCATACAATTTACATTTGTCAACTGTCAAAATCCCATTTTTCAACTCATATCGTATTGATTTTGTAGAGATGACAAAAAAACATATTCACTTGTGTCATGGGTCAAACTGAAAATATAAATACCAATTAATAATACCCCTCAACTTACCGATAATTTTTATCTTCTATTGTGTAATTTTTGCCTGATGAATCGTGACTTGAGGCAGAACTCCTATGCTTTTCATCATTTTTATCAAGGTATCCTTTCTTTTCAGCCATTTTTAAAGCACCAGCAATACCAAGAGCAATCTGTGGTTCATCTTCAAGAATAGGTGCATCATCTTCCTGAACATCAAAAATATGGACTGTATTATTGTTTAGAATTTATTGACATTGATAGAATGATAATATTAATGTGCTATGTAATATTAATTGACTGCAATATGGTTCCTCTTGAGAAATGTATATAAAAAGTAACAATGAATAATTACGTACTATTAAATTTGCGGTTTGTTCATTTTCTAAATTAACTCTACTCCATCCTTGTAGAGAGTCCTCTGGTTCATCATCATCCATGGTTTGTTTTTCCTCATCTTCTTTATCAAAATCCAACACTTCCTCCTCATTCTCTTCTCGATTTCCTGCAGCACCTGAATAAACAAACATTTAGATATGTTTACACTACACAAAACACCATGAAAAGGCAACTTACCATCCTACACTTGGTTTTAACACTTACCATCCAACATTCTGATGTTAAACTTACCATCCCACTTGCATGGTTTGCGATGTCAAACTTACCATCCTACACACAGTTTGTGATGTCAAACTTATCATCCCCAGTGTTCTCCCCAGGATGTAAACAGCGTGGCGGTCCCGCCAACAGTGCTTCGATTTGCCGCCACACCAGTCTGACACCGCCACGGTGATTAGCAAGACCGCCACAGTGCTTTTTTCATTGGGGATCTCGTCACGCTGGTCTGCCCGACCTGCACTCAAAATTAGCGACCACCACGGAAACGCGTCCGACTATTGTCATATTGTTATTATACTTACGTACCGACCGACAAGCATCCTGCCAGTCGTGGATAATAATTTGTAAACAATAGACATAGTCGTGCGATGTGGTATCGGCTTTAAACAATACAAGTCAATTTTGTAAAATTAGCACCTCTTTGTAAGTAAATATTTTCTGACAATAGATGCAGTCTTTAGATTGATAGCTGAAATTCATTCAAAATCAATTCCACCCCGATGTAACATGGGCAAAGCGGAGTTCACGATCAGTTTACGCTACTCAAGAAAAAAAAAACGTGTTTATTGCGTGATTGGGTAAAATACATTTGAACTGTTATCATCGTGAATCATGTAAAAAATCTTCTTTCAAGACTTCTTTTACCTTTCAAAAATTGCTAATCACCTTTTTCGAAAACCATCATGCAGTTTTCATCTGAAATTCATACCAACACATCGTGCTACTTCCGCAATGTAATTTTTTAGGATCACGATCATTCGGAAAACTTCGGGTTCTACCGGCATTACCATGCGGCATTCTGATTGGTTAATGGCGTTTTTGAGCCACCGGGTCAAAGGACACATGCGGTCAACTAACGCGTCACAGCTATCATGGCGGGTCTGTTTTTCACAAAGTGATCGAGTGATCAAAAATAATTTCTCTTGATAAAACTAGTTCAAATTTTACGTTTTTTTCATATAAAAAAAGAAGTATTTAATTTTTGCATGGCATCATGACTGAGTAAGAGAAATTATTGGTATAACCCGGTGTATAACATCGCGAAGTAAGTTATGTCACGTCGTAACTTTGATGATTGTT